ACAGCTACTTTAATGACCTTAGACTATGATAATGCTGATTTAAGGTGAATACAGAACCGCACAAAACCTTAGCCATTAGGAAGTTATTTAAATGTATTTCGAGCATGTTTTCTTTTTCCTCTTGGGAATCTTCTTTCCTTGTCGAATATCGTTTTTGTCGCTTGACGATCCTGTCATATGACATACCAAAGTAACGCACTCCAGTTTCAGCAAGCAAACGATTAGGATATATTCGATAAACATTTTTTTTGCTGACGGTATTTAATGAAAAGAAACTGTCTTTTTGTTTCATAACTCTAAGTTTGTTGACGGCGGTCTAACTAGTTTTTTACAGGTACCGTAGAGGATGACTATAATATACATAATCACAATTCACCTTTACGTTATTTTTTGTGATGTAATAATGTTATTTACTTGCGTACCCCTCATTCATTCAGAGATATAAACCAGCAATAAGTCTTTATATTTTTTAGAGACCATGACGGTTCGGAAGCTGAAACTTCTCGTTGGTAGAATGTTCAGAGTGGACCCCCTTTCTGTAAACCTCGTTTACCAAAGCAGCCGCTCGGTAGGTCTTTACCTCAGCAACAAAGCGGTTCACATCGTTTCACCCTTTAGAAAGACATAATCTTTCCACTGGACGATGATATGAAATCGCTGGCATTCTATTCTGTAGAAGGAGCCGACAAAATACTGGTCTACCCGAAGACTTAAAAGTTTTCGAATGTTTCGCAAAGCCGTCCCCCACGAACAGACATGCTGTTTCTGACGTTATACTTGCGGCGTGGTGATGGTAAACTGGTTCAGTGAGGTCGCAGGTGGTTGGTCTGCTGTTCCATACGCCGAAAAGTAGTTCCTGTGACATTTCAAGACTGCAAACATTTCTCGTTGTGATTTCTAGGCGTTTGAGTTTGCATTTTTTGTGAAATTCACTCTTAAAGCATTAGTATGAAAGAGAACTGTCAGTATTTCCGGTGTATTTTTGCTTTAGACGCTTCCTTTGTTAATTTTAAAAAAACTCCGCTTAATAACGATTTTGCTTCATCATAAAAATACTAGGTTTACATATATTGTGTACATACGCAGTTATTATCTTATCAGTGAATTATCGCTAAGGCCATTTCTATACCAGCGAATTTCTGTACCGTATGTTTGTACTGTTACTAATGGTCAATTGAAAAAGGACGTTGAGGGAAGCTGCAGAAATCCTAAGCTTTTAAGTAGATCTGTTTCACAGAAGAATGAAGAATTTCGTTTACAATTCGCATTGATTGCGAAACGGGGTTGGGTCAGCTTTTATCTTATCACTGTTAAGTCTGAATCATCATTAAGACCATTCTCTGAGCCAGAAGACATTGCAATGCATGTTAGTACTATCCTCTGCTAATACATAAGCAGTCTCTATTTCTGTACCAATATATTATTATCCAGTGGTAATCCGTCTATGTATATATGCATTAGTGCATGCCAGTAGACTGAAATTAATTCGTAATTCACTTGTTCGTAATATAGACTGAAGCTGAGTTGTGGTTCAGTCCAAGCCGGTAATACCGCATTTTAGATTTATTGCAAAGCCCACCCACATACACAACCGTAAGTATTATTTCCTGCGTGTTTAAGTATATCCTGTGGCTTTGAGGCAGGCTGCGTGGTAAAAACAACATATCGATATGGACTGAATTGTGAATTTCATTTTAGTCCATACTGGTAATATATCATGTCCATTATATCCATGTATTGATATACCGGAATCTAACTATATACACAGTAATACGAAATGCATCGATGTTGACAGAAGTCAGTACTACATCCACTACAATATCTTTCTCTGGCTCAAAGAATAGTGTTACTTTTCAAACCTTCCAGTGATAAAATAAATAACTGACCCTGCTCTAGTACGAACCTACAAACAGAAAATTCTTTATCCTTCTAGAAAACAGATCTCTTTACCTGTTTCGAGATTTCTGCAGCCTTCAGCAGCAATCCTTTTTAATTGACTATTATCACTTGTCGGCATCGCCGCATACTACAAACATTTGCTGGCCTTAAGGTAGGATTCCGTGCTTTTATGACTGTTGACTAAAGTTCTTTCATTAAAGCAATCTAACAGTGTCAGCAAATATGTATATTATTCAAAGCATTGTTCAGTATATTCATATATGAGCAAATTCATATACAGACAATAGTTCTGAAGTACCCATATAAGCTACATGCATGCAACGAACGAAACGAAATAGCGTATAAAGAGCGACAAGTCGATTCTGAAGAGTCCTGCATCCTTTATACTAGTAACTATAATGTGCATCAGATGACACCCATTTCGTAAGAAAGCGCTCAGAATATAATACCAAACTGTCTATATACGTATATGATGAACATGTATTCGTTTACAAACACAATTCAACACCTAAGCTTGTGCACTATGCACATTTCTTCATCCTCAGTAGTGAGCCTGCCATGTTCCTGAACTCTTTTGAACATATCGGGGTCAGTAGTTCTTCAGCAATAGGCGTAAGCCCCCATCTACTGCCAATGGTTTCATCACTGACTTCTTCCCACCTAAGAGATTCAGAGAAGTGAAGCACTTGGTGATTCTGTGGTAACGGGCAGATATTAGCGAGTCTCGGGCAACGCAACTACCTCAAACTGCCGAATAGGACTTACGCACCGTTCCCAGGTTCTCAATTCAGCGTTAGATATTCTCGTCGTGCCCAGTACCCTGCACCTTTGACCCACGTAGATCATAATAAGTATAATGCAATATTACGGTATGTAAAATATACAGACATACAAGTATTGTTAAACAAAGTACCCATAGTAGTACATGGAATATCCATATTCAATAGGTATTAAAAATTTCATGAGACGAACAACCAACAATTATAATCACGACTGCTAACAGCCTAGTATCCGCCACCGGAATTTGCTGGCTAATTACAAGGCGATTGGGCTAGCGTGATAAGGTGCTCTTTAACAGAGACTCTAGCAGTTGTATTATGTGATATTATATGCACCACATAGCTTCATTTGGAGTGCTACAAACGCATAACGCTTTGCTTATGTTTACTCACATAAACTAAAGTAAGATTAAATTGTAACTAGGAAGACTGACCGACTCGATCTGAAATATCAATCTGTGGGAGTAAAAAGTATCTAATTCCTGCTTTCATGAGTTGACGTTTCAAAACCTAATATATTCACTTGTACTCTTCTATTACTTGTATTACTCTTTCAAAATCTTGCAACCTTACCCTAATACTAAAAACATTCGAAATGCACCAGGAACAATAACGATGTCCGTAAAAAAAGTAGACTTAGGCATCCAAGAAAATACGCTGCACAACAGCTACGTCGCGTTAGACCCTTCCAACAGGTGGCGAGCCACCTGAGATGCAAGATCTTTGAGGATTTTGCTGTAGATTCAAGTGATTGCGCATTCCTGAATATGAACTAAACTATTTAAAAACATCTAATCAAAAACCACTGGATAGATCCCTTTAAAATTTATTTTACGGAACACCTACTAGTTTGAAAAAAACGACAGGTATTTACAACAATATATCACTTGTCTAGTACGGTTTTCCGAACGTGTTATTACTGTCATTGCTATAGCAGTTCTGACCGTTAAGAACTGCAACGTATACAAAGCAGCTCTGATTTCAAAATTCATCGAGTCGTGCAAAGTTCCCAAATATCCATCGCATTTCAAATATTTAGAAGGACGGCAGAGGCTAACGATTGCTTTAGTTCAGTAGATTTCGTCTGAGAGATCAAATCAAGCTTAGTCTCCAACTGAAAGAGGCAGCACCGCTTGGAAAACGACTCCAAACCTGAACATCATAACAGAGGACTTGGTTTATTCAACGGTACAATACTGAAACCGACGCACGGCGTAACAACGGTTGTCGAAGTAATCATAATTTCAGCTTTTGGCTCTCCGCCAAAACAAGACCCTAACCCAGACGGTACAGTTAAGTTCACTGTTCAACAACAAAACAAAATAAGTAAACACAAATACCGCTTGGTGCAGCATAAACAAACATGCGTACAACGGACAGAAATAAAATCGTCGTTCTCTGGCGTTGACTCTACCTACCCGCCGAACGGCCGAAAGAACGACAAAAGACGATTTCAATTTAATATTAAAAAATAATTACCTAAGGTAAGGCAGTGATGTAACGTGAAACACGGTAACAAACCAAGTGCAAGTCAGAAGTCGGAAAAATACTGTACACACAGGCATCAGGTAAATAATGCTGTAAAAATAAAAAATGTTTATAAAAAAAGCTATAGAGCTGAGTGCCGTAGTCTGTCCATGACTAGTCGCAGTGCTCATAGAATTTCACCCTCTCATCAATGGCGTGCGTGTAGTCGTCTAACCTGGAGTTCAGATCGACTAGGGTTTTGCTCAACATAGCCAGGTGCAGTTCATTGTCATCGAAGTTTTTCTGCTCCTCTGAAAATAGCGCAGCGGTTAAAACAACGACGACGCAATGCTACTGGCAACAGAACGGAGCGGCAGGGCGAAAAGTGCCACAGCATAGAGAGCAGGTCGCAGCAAGTTGACAGGCATATAAACAAAACAGTACAAGAAATGTAACTAAAAAAACACTAAACATCCGGGCTACTGACAGACAGACAGGCAGAACTACTAGAGAAACATGCAGGTAGCAGAAGGCGGTCGAACGATCAGCGAGGCACATATATAATACGAGATAGCGTATAGCACAACAGCAGTCAATAACAACAGTCGATAATTATCAATCGGTCAGTCAGTTTCAATGATCACATCCGAGACATGCAAGGTGTGTTTTAATTTATGTACGTGGTTCGCCAGCATTCAAATATACGGCGGTAATATGACAGCGTTCAGCCAAGGGGTACAGCGGCATCACAGGGGACACGATTCGGGCCTTTTGGCACCCGGACCGGCGATCGCCTGCTCCGCAGGACAAGAACACTGTTCGTACTGTTTCAAGTATTTCAGAACAGTGCCAGTGGCGGATTCCACGCTGTTAAGCAAAGTCGTAACGTGCATGTTCACTTCTACCATTCTAAATTCGTTCATACTGACGATCTCACGCAGTTCTACAATAATCACCCAAAAACATTATTAAGTCGTGCTGTGACCAGGTGGCAAAATACAAAAGCATGCAAATGCACATCAAAGCAAATAGAAGAAAACAGCTCAATAGTAGGAAAATACCTTTATGAGCGTATGTGATGCTTAACTGTAAAATAACCGAATCAGAGTTAGCAAGGTATAAAAAGAGAACCCCAAATTAAAGTATTTTAAAAATTAAAAGAAATTTTAAATAACTGTCCATTTATTGACAAAATGTCGGTTAAATTTTTGATTAAGTGAATATTTGCTCATGCGCAAAAAATAGAACGCTAACGCTTCCGCTTCAGAGACAGACGCCATCAAAGGGAACAACAAAAATACTGTACAGTATGTTGCAATTATTATTATTAGCTACTAACAATATGTACTATGCAAGCCGACGACGCTTCCCTCAAGAGCATAAGGATTATTGATCGTTACAGTCAGAATGAGAGAAGACAGGCCAACGTTTGTAGTAAAATGAAAATGATTTTTCAGCCACCCACTCACTTCCTCTCCCTATGCTTTCGCCCATTCTTCTCGAAACATCCGTCGAAACAAGATTTGCGAACAGCTTTGGTGCTAATACGACGGTGACGTATGTCATGCTATCAGCCCAACATCAGTGCCAATTACAAATCCGAACATGGTGTTTACACTGAGCAGAGGAGGAAAACGGCATTCGAAGAATAAAGGCAGGGCATAACAAGGTTTGTGATCTTCGAAATGTCAGACTTTCTTACACTTTCATAAAGGTACCATTTATGGCGTCCTTTATTGCATGAAAATTTGATAATGGGGTGCTGATGCGCACATCCATACTATCAGTTATGAGTGCCTTGTTATAAAGGCAGTGTCGACAGCAGCAATGGCAAGCCAGAGAAGTACTCGGTGGAAGAGCGATGAATGGAAAACGGCATGTCCCTTTGCACGAAGATATTATTTTGGGTTAGACAGCTGAAAGCAACAGTACACATAATATTTTGCGTGTTTAAAGTTACGACCTTTCATTCCGGATTGTGGGTAGGAGGAATCGTCATTATTAATCGAAAAAGTCAATAAGGCGATTGATAGTATAATACTTACCAATATTTTAAATGAAAGAAAGATTCGAATGTGGCCACACCGTTCGTGTCATCCGGACGAGCTACCCCAAAACTAGAATAATCCCATTTGCACTAGTTGATGGTCACCCAAAACAGAAAGTGATTATGTCATTGTCTGTTTATATCAAAACGACAATATATCGTTGGAGGAAAAGTAAAAGATTAAAATTAGGCTATACGGAAAAACCACTGAGGTCGTGGGACTGCAGCGCAGTGCTTCATATTCAAATGCTTATTTCACAAAAAGAAGCAAAAATTCGACGTCATAAAAGGGCAGGTTTAGACTCCTTAGTAAAAAATCTCTGCGTATAAACACGGGCAAAGAAACTGTGCATTATTTGAAGTTCGAACTCAGTTGCATCCGTGTGCCACCATGACCTGACTCATTTTCATTTGCACAATTTTTGTCGCTTTTTTCCTACAGTAAGTATTAGATCTTTTTAAGGGATCCAACTGAAAACTGCCACTAGCCCAACGTCAATAAATCACGGATAGTACACAACGAAGATTTGTTATTAATCCGGGAAAAGATAACTAATGATACAATGATAATCTTAGATCTTCAAGGTGAATCTGTCTAAAAGAC